ATAGTCAAATAAGATACATGTTACGAAAGATTCTCGCGGTACAAAGCGCCCGCAGGAATTGTCTTCGCTTTGGTCCTTTTCAGTTTTCTCGCGAGTCTCACGGACTTCCACAGCCACATCCGGGAGTCCTTCTTCCAATAGAGCGCGATATCCGCGGGGGAATGTCTGATGCCCTGCAGGAAGACAAAATCTTAATATTTTCCTACGATCTTCAATATTTAATTCTTTTCTATACAATTATAATTTTTAAATTTGATATACGAATATAAAAAATCAAATATTCAAGAAAACTATTTCAAAATCTTATCCTTACTGTTTTTAATAACATTCTGAATAAACTATTTAATGTCTGTTTGAATTTCTTTGTCAATATAGGTTTTATACAAGTTCTGAATTTTCTTGAAAAATCAATTTGCTTCCCAAAAAGATCAAACAGTCATGGATAAATAAGAACATTTGACCTGGAAAATTAAGATTTCCGGTCCCTGGATCACCAATTGAAAGGTAGATTTTTCTCTCGTCTTGAAGAGCGGAACGGTTTGCTCCTGCTCGGAATCATTGAAGTAATCCGTTTGCACGTCGCTTGTTCTAAATCCTAGGTAATTCTTCGTCTCAAGCTCCAGATTTTCCAAAGCGGACGTGAAATTTCCAATGTCCTTGCAAATCCCAATTCCAACCTAAATCAAATAAATTTATTTAATAAAACGCAATAGTTTTCATTTTAAAATATTCATCTTGCACTATATAAAAGTATAAAATTGAATAATTAAAATGTACATTAGCTCGGAATCTTAAAAGAATTAATTAAAAATTAGATTTATTAATTTATATATTTTTCAACACAGAATTTATAACAGTCTTTATCACTTTTTAATTCTTAATTCGTAATTATTTATATATCTTTGTATTTATTTGTAATCATTTTTGTATTCAATAAATTAAACATTTATCTACACGGCCGTTTTAATTCAAAATTAAAATAATGTAAAAAATGGAATTCCTTTTACTTAAAAATTGGAATTAAATAACAATGAAATAAAATTGTTATAATTATATATAGAATTATATATAGAATTAAATTGATTTATGAATATGTTTAGTTTTAATGTCTCGATAAACCTGAATTCCTTGAGAGCAAACGTGGTGATTTATAGCGGCTACGGTGGCGGCGGCGGCAGCATCCTTCGTCCTGGCCGCGGGATGATCGTTCTCATCCCACTTCAGGTTCTCAACTGTCCGGAAAGAAAAAGCGCACGTTGTACGTTAGGAAATTCGCAACGTCCTTCTATCTCGATATTATACCGCTCGACTGATCAGACTCCTCGTTTCGCCAATCCATCCTCGCGCCGTCGAAGGGTGGTAAGACGAAGACAGCTCTTTGACATTTGTCGATGAGACCCGCATCCCGCATCCCTCCCGTCAGGGGAAAAATGCGCTGCGAGCGCACTTTGTTTCAAGGACCGAATCGAATCGAATTTATATGGCTTCAGGAAACTCGATACCCGATTAAAAGAGACCTTCCATCATGCTGGAGGACAAAGAATAATAATAAAAATATTATATATATATATATATATATATATATATATATATATATATATATATATATATATAACATAGTATAAAGTTGTGTATTATTTTTTATGTCTTCTTTTGCCAGAAAAACGCATATTAACTACGTTGCACGAATGTATAGAGGGATTTTTAAGTCTTTGTTCAGCTTTAAACTTTCATAATTTCTGTTCTATGTACAATAAAATTAATTATTAAAAAAAGTAAACGAAAGAATTTAATTTCTCAACACACCGTTATTATGTTTTTACACTAACTACAATTCTGATGTTTTTCACAAATTAATTCCATCGCGTAGAAAACTGAGGTACCTATATACGAAAAAACTGCTTGCACATTGCTTCCTCATAGTTTTTAGTTTCTAAGTGTGCAAGTAAAAATTTTTTTTCTACTAAATTTTCTACTAAAATTTTCGAGTTTTTATATAGAAACTCAAAAATTTTATTTTGACCACTTTTCCAAAAAAATCGCTTTGTGGCAGTGTGAAAGCAATGCTGCTGATTACGAATATCATAGTTAAAGTGATATTAAACGGGCGGTTTCAAGTAATTAATTATACCATTTTTGTGGTATATTGGAAGTTTGAAAGTTTCTAACAAAATTTTTATTTTTATTTTTTGATCGTCTCCCTGACAGTTAAAAAAATTATTGAAAAATAATTTGTTTAATAAATAGTACAAAATAATTTTCTTTTATGTTGTAAATAATTTCATCCTAAAATTTGTGACAACTTTTATTTAAAAAATTTTTGTATTGCACTTAAAGGAAAAAAGTTATGCAATTATTAATTAAAAAGTCAGTAAATTTTCCATTTATCATAAATCGAAAAAATTTGCAATTAAAAAAATATATTTGAAACCATATTTTATCTCGTCAGAAACTACCAATATGCAAAATTTGATTCATTTCTGAGAGGTGACTGATCCGGTTCACGCGGAATGGCCCATACCTGGTGACATATACGCGCGTCCCGAGCGTAGAAAAAGCGCTGAGAACGCGGAAAATAGACGCCTGCATGCCGGCTTTGTCTTATAAATTGATGTAATCTTTGATACTTATATATGTATATGAGCATTTCATTTAAATAATTAAACTTTATTGCTTTATTTTATTACGTGGCTGAGGTACTTTTTGTCGCAATAAATTTAATTATTTAAATCAGATGCTTATATAAGTATTACAGGCATGTCCGTTGATTTCATATGACGAGTCAGTTAGACGAATAGACCGCACTTGAGAAGGGCTTGAACCTTGAGCCGAAACTTAGTGCATACTTTCTACTTTGTGCCAGTTAGTCGAGCAATCAAATAATATTTGTTTTTATTTTGAGGTCTTAAATTCATATTTTAAGTTAGGACATTTAACACCTTAAAACTCACTGTATTTTAACTTAATCAAACTTGTATAAATAAAAGAAAATACAAAAACAAAAAATTTATATTTATATAAAAGAATATACATTTTTATATTATATAAAAGGATATATTTTTAGATAGGTAAAAATATAAAAATTTACTTACTTTATTTTCAATAAATATAACCAAAATTGTCACTTTTTGACATTTTGCATCAATTTTTTTAAAAATGATGCGATAGAAAAATTGTGAGAGCAGATTCAACTTTATAGCACATCAAACTACTTTGGTAGATACTACGTAGTCTAAAAAAAAAGATTTACGCAAGAATGTGTTACTAAACTCGTCAGATTTGTTGGCTTCTGTGGGGGAAACATAATAAAAGAGACACGAAGTCAACGATATCCTCATTCGGACAGTAATACTTATATCAAGTTAAACTAATACTTTGCATGATCATTAACTACAATGTTGTTTGAAAATAGTGTGTTGATTTATCTGGCAATTATTGTTATATGTTACTTTCTTTGGAACTACCGCCGAGTGTTTTTTATTAGAAGGCTAGATACTTTACCAGGACCTAAAACATGGCCATTTATTGGTAACTGTCATATGTTGTTGGGTTGTGAAGGTAATACTTTTAAACTACATATATATTATAAATATTATCAAACTACACAAAATTTAAAAATTGGCATTAAAATTTTCTGAAGTAAATATCCCAAATAGAATTAATCATGATTATGACAATTATTAATTTAGTATAATGACTAAAGATGAGATATTAAGTTTAATATGAATGTGTAAGGCACTATTTTTTTCCGTCAAATTAATTCTTAGATATTATTTTACTCCAGATATTATTTTATTAGAAAAAAAACTTTATAAAATTAAATTATAAAACTTAATAAAATTGTGAATAAAATCGGATGTATAAGAATAATATCAACAACAGAATTAAATATAATTAAATGTTTTAGTTAAATGTATATAATTCAAACCTTTCATGAGCGCTTCTAAATTTAAAAATATCTGAATAAAATTAAAGATTTCCAGTATACGTGTATATGTAAGAAACATAATTGAAATCATATTTACTTAACAGATTATAAAATTTTTTTGTTATTGTTT